TACAGGCCCACAGGGTTAAAAGGCAAAAGCAGATGGCTGCTTACCTTGAGCTGCAGCCCAGTCTCTGCTGCCGTGTAGGGCCCCGGGCTGGTGCCTTAGCGTAGCTGCTGACTGATGAGTGGGCAGATGAGGACCCCAAGCCCCCAGAGCCAATGATGATGATATTCCCTGTGCTGGAAAGCCAGGCCTGTGGCACTCTCTTGTGCCGTTTTAAATTCCTGTGTGTGTGCCTCGTAACTCCCCACCGTATTTACCAGGCCCCTCGCTGCACAGCTGTCCCTGCTTTGGCCCCAAGCTGGGTCGGGGCTGCTCAGGCTGAGGGAGGCGGTGGCTTTTGAAGCTGTGCGGACTAAGGTGCTGACCCTGCTCAGGCAACGTAAGGATAAACTGCCATCCTTTTTAATACCTCCTTGAGGATGCTGTCTGCCTCTTTCCCCTGCGCTGGGCTGCAGTGCTACCTGCTGGGGAGGGGGTAGCTATGGGTATGCACATGTTGCTCCCCTGTCCCTTTGGTACCTGGCAGTCTTCTCTGGGGGAGGCCCTGCTGCAGGGCTGCAGGTCCCTCTGCATTGTGGTGGGGCAGGTTGATGCCAGCCCTGTGGGATGTCCTCTCTATGAGCCACTAAACTGGCAGCCAGGTGAGGTCATGCAGATTTTGCAGCTGGGAGAAATTCCTGCTTTCCTGAGCCCTATTTGCTTGTTCACTGCATGGGGAGACAGTTTCTTAATCATTTGCAGGGAGAGCCTGCTGGCAGCTTCCTTCCTTTCTGCCCCCCTCCTTCTCTCCCCTCTCCCCCCCAGCTGTAAGCAAGTCAGAGCCTCCCTTACCTGCCTCCCTCAGTGTCCATGTTGGAGAGGATGCCACCCCTGCAACCTTCTTTCTGTTGCCCAAGCTACAGTGTCACATCCTAAAAAAAAATAAAAATCAAGGCAACGGGGACTGGTCGACATCCTCTCCCCCCCCCCCCCCAAAAACCCTCCCACACTTCCCTCCCATTGCAGCCCTGCTCCATTGTGGTGGTTGTGCCAAGCAAACTGGGAGCAGTGAGTGCATTAGCAATTGCCTTACAGAGCTCCCACCAGCCCCCACCCGGCCAGGGCAGCTTCCCACCTGTGGGACCAGGTGGGCACAGGAGACAAGTGGTTTCTTAGGAGGAAAGTATGTGGGGAGGTGAGAGTAGCTTTCAAATGCTAAGAGGAAAAAGTGAGGCTGCTTGTTTGTCAAACTGAAGCAAAAATCAGCATCTTTAGCCCACACTGAGCAGTAGCCCCCACAAAAACCAGCTGTGTGAATTCTTTTGTACAAATAATTACAAAGCTGCAATCAGTAAATAAAGAATTAAATTAGCAAAGTGCAATGAGCTCCTAGACAAAGGTGGGAGCACTCCAGCTGCAGTCCTGGCCTGACCCAGCCATGGTTCCTCACACTGGGCCAGGCACCCCAGTCTGTTGGCAGAGAGATGACAATGCCAGTTCCTGATTTAGCCCTTCCCCAGGGTTGCTGGTGAAAGGCTGAGCTCACAGCTCCTCCCTTTCACCTTTACCCACCCATCTTCATTTATGAAACTTTGTAGGAATTAAGTAATATTAAATTTGCCCAACATACTTGAAATTGGCCCTCAAAGAGCCCAGAGACTACATAACCATGAGCCTCACCTCCTGAGGAACTGAGCTAACCTGCCAGAGCCCCTCTGCACAGGGACTTCGACCGGGAGAACAAGTGATAACTCTGTGCCTGGGGGTAGCAGGGAAGATGGTGCCTCATCCCAGGAAATATTAGAAAGTCTTTTCCACAAGCAGTGCCCAGAGCAGGCTAGCCCAGTTCTCTGCTTTCCTTACTATTATTTGTTTGAATAATAGTTCAATAGTTCTTTGTTGGAAGAGGTATTCCCCTGGACATCCATTTTTGTACCCATTGGCAAAAACAAAGTCTGATGTTCTGCCTCTACCTTGAATGTAATCCTGAATCTTTCTGCTGTAACCACTACTTGTTTGTAATGTGTATTTGACTAGCACGCACTCTCCCTTCCACTATGCAGCAAACGGCGAGGGGTGATCAGCACCATCAGCGACAGATGGTGCTGGGGCATCGGATCCAGAGCAAGTATTCAACTGGAAAAGGATAAAAGTGACAAGTTAACGGGGGAGAGAATGGATCTTTAAATTGAATTATTTTTTCAGTTACAAATATTTGAAAAAAAAAATCCATTTTATTAAAAAAAAATTCCAAACAGCCACGTGCTCAAAACCTTCTCTGCTGTGCTGGTGGGAGGGCTTGGGGCCACTCTGCCTTTTCTAGCTCAGGGTGGGAGATCCCTCTGGGTTTTTCTCAAACCTGAAAAAAAAAGCAGCTTGAGTGGTGGTGCCTCATCTCTTTTCCGCTGCAGAGAGATTCCCCCTGTGTATGGAAATTACCTACCCTACAACCAGAAGTAGGCCTTATGGTAGGAGAAGCATGGCCTGCTTTTACAGTGTCCTCCAGCCCAACTGCACCCCAGCTGTTACGGTGGTGACAGTGCAGCCTTCCTCAGCCAGATGCCAAACTGGAATTACGGTGACTGAAAACACTTCTTTCCACATCAGTAAATATGCTTCCACCCTCCCACGAGCTTGGGCTTCTGAACATGGTACTCTCATGGCCTGTGCCCTGTTACTGTCCCACTTTCCAGATGAGACTCCACCTGCTTTTTCTGGAGAAGCTTCTTGTACAGGCACCACCACTGTCCCAGCTCTGCTTTCTGCCAGCCCCTCCCCCTTTGCGAAGGGCCCTCTTCCTGCAGTGTCCCTACACCCCCTAGTTTTGAGTATTTCTTGCTTTTCTGGGGCTCTGCTGCGCTTCAGGGAGGGCTGGTGGCAGAGAGGAGGCAGGGCTGCTTGCTGCTGGCAGCACAACTGCTCCTGCCCCTGCTGCCTGCCCTCGGGGCCTGGTCTCGGGCAAGGCTGGTGAGGAGCCCCCATGGTGCCAGTGCAGGCTGAGCAGAGACCTCAGCCTGATGCCAGCAGGAGCCAGCACAGAACTGGGGTCAGAGTTATCAAATGACAGAAATGGAAGAATTAAATCCAGTCCTAGCCCTGTGAAAAAAACAAAGCCAAGCCCAGCACTCTCCCAAGATGCAGTTTATTTACAAACCCACTGAATAAAGGAAAGTAAGAATCTAGTGTCATTTCATGAGTAGTTTGTGCTCACAGACAAGCGCTTTCAGTAGAAAGTCACAGACTCCATATCCAGAGCCACCACCACAAAGCAGCAATTCTCCACTCCTGACCTACGTCCCTGCTGCCACCGCAGGGCGAGGAGGACGAGTTAGTCTCCCTGAGCCAGCTTCAACCTGAACCCCATCCTGAGCTACAACAGTGCCAAAATATACACATTTCTGGAATTAATTTACAGCTTTTTGGTTAACAGTAAAAATAATCTAGAGACTAAAATGACAGCATGAAACACTCTGTTGAGGGGAGAGGTGTTTTTTGTCTGCTCCCAGAGGAGACAAGGCCCATCCCCTAAGGCTGCGACAGCAGTAACAGGCTGGGTGCAGTTGGGCACCTCTTGTCAACACCCCACACACCAGTGCCAGGGAGGGGGGATCAGGCTGATGCCGTTCCCCCTTCTCAGCCCCAGCTCCAGGTCAGAGGCACTTGTCCAAGTGCTCCAGGTTTTGCCTCCCGCAGAGGCAAGCCCTGGGCTGGCATGGGGGGACATGTTATCCCTGCTCCCATACGGCGGTGAGTCTCTCACCAGCCCGATTCCACTTGCACCCGCAGTGCCAACCTGCCACCGTCACCAGCTCTCACGGATCAAAGCCACCCCGCAAGAGCTGTCTCATCCCTGCGGCAGCAGCAGGCTCACACTCCCACAGCTGCTGGCCCACTCAGCAGTGCCTGAGGAGCTCCGGGCCAGGCTGCTCGCCGTGGCACTGAGGGGAAGCAGGGCTGAGGCAAGCAGGAGACAGGGGTGGCAGAGACGGGGAAGGCTGGGAGGGGACACTTGGTTTTGTGTCCAGAACACACGTGTCCTGTTGCAGTATCACCCCCCACCATCACCTCTCTTGGGTTTGCAGCTTGGCCTCTGGGCCCTGCTGCCATCTGTCCCAGGTGGCCTGGCAGCCCCCCGAGGGGGATTTTGTCACAAATACAAGTGAGTGGGGTGGGGGAGGGCAGAGGGTGAGACACGATGGGGGTGAGGGAGAAGAGTGTGCGCCGCTGAGAAGTTTCCCCAGGATGGGGCAGGGTGGAGGTCACCCATCTATGTCCCAGCTGAAGAGATGGTGCTTCACGAGCATGTCCTGCACCCCCTCCTTCAGTGGCTTCTTCTCCTTCTCCTGTAGGATGACACAGAGACCCAGGTCAGTGCACCACACCCAAAGAAAGGGAGGTTGTGTCTGCGGGCAGAGGCCAAGCACGCTGAGGTCTTCAGCACCCAGACAGAGCAGCCTTCTGCACTTCCCACCTCAGCACAGCTGAAACAGGGAGAGGCCCTGCGGTTTGGAGAGCACGGGGAAGGGAGTGGCTGACATTTCCCTCCGCCCCAGCTGGGCAGGGGCAGGCAGCACCCTCTGCCAGCACTGCTGCACAGCTCCGGTGCACAGCGTGCCCTGGCACCCTGGCAGTGAAAGCAGCACCATCCACAGCCTCCTCCTCAACAGGAGACAGAGGATGGGCTGGAGCACAAAGGTGGGAGACAGAGGCAGTAAGCAAAGCCCCCAGCTGAGGAAGAGAATGAGAGACGCTACTTACTCACCTCCCTCTTTATCGGCAGCTCCCAGTCCTGAGAGAGGCTGAAGGCAAATTTGCAGAGGACTCTGCAATGGAAGAGAGCAATGGTAACATGCACACCCCCACCAGATCACGCTCCCAACCTGTGCTCACAACTGCTGCCCCCAGGCACACCAGCTTGCCCCCTAAGCTTACAAGGGTGGAAATCCTTGTTTGTTGGTGTAGAAAATGCAGCACCAGCCACTCATCCCCTGTTCCCCCCTCCTCTTTGGGCTTTACATCCTGCAAGGCCCAGGCTGGAAAGAGAACCTTGAAGCTGTGACTCAAGTGCAGCCCCTACAGAGCCTGACACAGCAGCACAGGGAGGCATGGGCAGCCTCAAGCTCTGCTTAGACTGCAGACACTTCTGGCTGAGGACTGCACGCAGCTGACAATGGGAGGGTTGCAGGTTCCTCTCCAGAAAGCAGACTCCTGCCAGTAGCACCTCAGAGTTTCTGCACCCCACCTCTTCTCTCCCTGGAGTAAAAGAAGTGTCCTAACTCCATGCAGTACTCCCTCTTTGGACCCAGCTCTAAGCAGGTGCTGCAGGCACAGCCTCAACCCTGCTCCTAGGATAGGGATGCAGAGCTCAGACCTCCTGGCAACAAGTGCATCAGTCCTCCAAGCTCACGGGAAACTCCTATGTGAGGTCTCCTCCAACTCCTGCAGCAGCAGGGAGCCAACACCCTCCACAGGAAGCTGGCTGGGAGAAATATGGCATAAGCCTCTGCTCCTGCTCCTCACAAACCTGAGCCCAGCCGTGAACCAGTCCCACTTGGTCCTTCAGAACTAGCACAACCCCTGTGCTGTGAGAAAGCAGCCACAGGACACTGCAGCACAGAGGTAGAGGGGACACCCCATTCAGCAGCAGCACAAGAACAGGGCACCCTGGGATGTGTACACCCAGGCCTGCTCCTGGCTACAGACACTCCCACTGGGGCCAGAGGCAACTGGGTGGCACAGACAAAACCAGTTCCCACAGGATGGCAGCAGCACCAGGGCTGGAGTGGTGGTGGGGTAGAGTTTGCTCTGCAGCTCCCTGGGACTGGATGTGGCTTTGCAGAGTGCAGGAGGGTCAGGAGCACGCAGTGTGGACGTGTGCCCGGGGCTCCAAGTGATGTGCTTTGGGCACGCTCAGCCGCACTGAGCCCCTGACACCGATCCCTCGCGTGAGTGACTCCTTCCCAGCCAGCAACAGCCAGTCTCCCTAGCGCATTCCCTGTGCCCTCCTTGGGCTCACTGTGGCTGGCAGGGCACCTGGAGGGCAGGGGTTGAAAAAGGAACCATCAGAGTAGGTGCAGGGCACAGCAGGAGGTTGCTGGCAGGCAGAGGCTGCCTGCTCGTCACAACAGCTCCCCAGGAGCCAAGCTCTGCTCTTGATCAGGCAGGCACAGTGCATCGCATTGAACTGTCTAGACAGTTGCTGCTGCCTCAGCACACAGAGGAAATCTCCGTAGTGAGGACATCTGGGCAGCCCACGCTGCTACTCACTGCAGAGGGTCCAAAGCCAACCGCAGGGAGAGGCACCCCCTGCAGTGGTGGAGGAGGATCCATTGCAGACTCTGGCGAGGCCCATGGGGGCAGACTCACCTCAGCTCACATTTGATCTGCACCCAGCCAGGACTGCGCAGGAACGAC